TACTTGGGCTGGTCAAAGTTGTCGAGCATGACCACCATCTGTCCTATGCCCAACAAGCGGTCCTGAAGCAAGCGGTCTGCTTCTTGATGTTGAAGGTGGAAGGCTTCCAGAAGCCTGTACTGGTTGTTACAAAAGAAGTCTTGCCACACAAAAGCCTCATCATCAGGGTTCTGCAGTTGCCATTGAGCCCAGCTATCCAGGTACATTTGCAAACAGTAGTCCCAGCACCAAGACAGATAATGAGAAGCCTTCTGCGCATCGTCCAAAGACAAGGCATCCACAATGCTGCAATGAAGCTTTCCATCACGTGGGCAGTATCGATTGTACCCCAACCCAGAGGGACCACAAGCCAAGGAGTTACCTAGTTCATGAAACGTTGGGTTTTCTTGGTTGGACACGTGCTGTGCTTGCCCAGGAAAGACCTTCAACAAATATCTCAAACGCACACCCAACCTCTTGGACTTCTCAGCACGCTCACGCTCGACCTCAAAAGCTTCGACTTCGTCTTCGCAGTCTTCACCCAAGATGGATGTCATCTGCTGACCAATCCAGTCCATCATCGTCTTGCGCACTTTCTCATTCACCTTTTTGAAGCCAACTCCTTCATTCAGGAACGATCGGACGCTATACGAACGGAACAAAGGGCATCGCTACGAACGGAGCGATCGGCTCCTTCATTGATATGGGCCTTGACCAGCTTTTCATCTTCCGGCTCATGAGCCGTGGCTTTCTCGACATCCACCTGACCATACATCCATCGCTCTTCCGCGTTCATCGGAAACAAATTGCGCTTGTTCGCTTGCTCCGTTCGTAGCGATGCCAGGAGCCCCTAGTGTCGGTCTCTTATGTGTTCCGTTTGGTAACTTTTGGAAACCTGCAACAGCAAATTGACAAGGAAGCTCCTGGATAGACTCACGTGTTATGATGGCCAGTTCTGGGGTTGAGCCCACTCAAAAAGAGATCGAATCCGGGTAGCCATGCTAACAACAAGGACTCCAACATGTTCGAAAGCTGCCACAAAGTGGGATGCAGCTTGTTTGTGACGGATGCAACGTGTTTGGAATCTTTGGACATGTATTTCATATCCAGATTTTCCCCAGGAACCCTCTTCCTCATCTTCCATATCCTCTTACATCTTCCTATTACACTATGACTATGACATGAGATTATAAAGAAACGATTCGAACTCAAAAACAAAAGCCGAGAACAAATCTGAGTCTGATTCCTATTGACTTTTCAGATGCCACGGAGTCACAGCTCTGATTTTCGCTTCTCAAGGCTTTCGGAAACGAAGCCAAACCGATCGAACAGCCCAGCATGGCCCAGCAATTTCACCCAAGCCGATCGAACATCAACTCGATGTACAAGGCACCATAGCGTTTTACGCACCAAGTTTCTTCATGTTGCACCAACGGCGTTTTCAAACGGCTACGATCGGGGCTCCTGGCCTTACTACTAGGAGCGATCAGACGCTACGTTCGGGGCTCCTGGCCTTACTATTATGGGGCCTAGCCTACCCCAACAAATTTGACGATTCAGTGCAGCCCTTCCAACAACCTGGCATTGGAAACGCACATGGCCTCCAACCTACAAGCAATCGCTAGCAATGGGCTTCAACCTACTAGCCATGCCATTCAACCTGCGATGGCCTCCAACCTACAAGCAATCACTAGCGATGGCCTTCAACCTACTAGCCATGGCATTCAACCTCCGATGGCCTCCAATACTAGCAATGGCATCCAACCTAATAGTGATGGCCTCCAACCTACTAGCATTGGACTCCAACCCACTAGCGATGGCCTCCAACCTACTAGCAATGGCCTCCAACCGAATAGCGATGGCCTCCAACCTACTAGCGATGGCCAACCTAATAGGAATGGGTAGAGGACAATAGAGTCCATTCGACCCATGATCAGGCGCGCAACGTAGGCACCATCGATGATATTTGTCACTTTTGATTCTAAGGAAACAGGTTCAACCTGAAAGGGCCGAGCAAACAAGCAGTTTCACCAATGTGAATTTCACACTATTTCGAACGTGTTCTTTGGCAAAGCTATGGGGATCTCGAAGCTGCCCCACAAAATCAAAATTTGTACGATCTACTTTCAAAAAACTATCAAGGCCCCAACCCCTTCTAATTTCAAGAACAATCTTTTGGAAGTTTTGGGAAACACTCAGCATGGAAATATATATATATCACTTCCCCCCGACCCCACGTGAACCCTTCACAGAACTCTGTTCTATAACAAAATCACTTCGTTCTCTCCAGCTCAAGACGCCTGCAAAGTGATGTGATGGTATGAGAATAGAGTCATTAATAAATAATGAATGATATAATATGCTATATGTGTGTATGTGTTTGATGTGTGATCTAATACCATACGCAGTTGCAGCTCTGCAAGACTTGCCTCTTTCAGCTTGCTCTTTATCTCTTCCCACTCACGCCCTTTGAGCTTCCTCTTGATACGGGCGGCTTGGTCAGGTGGCAATATAATCTCTACCTTCACCTTGCCAGGGTGCAGGGCGGCAGTGTACATCTCCTTAGTGAACATGCGGGGCACTCTTGGCTTGCAAAGCTTGGAACATCTTATGCGAGCATCACGACTCATCAAGAATTGCCCAGCGTCGTAAACACACCAAATGCGTTCCAAGTACTTGGGCTGGTCAAAGTTGTCGAGCATGACCACCATCTGTCCTATCTCCAACAAGCGACCCTGAAAAATGTCTCCCAAGCTTTCATCGGCCACTTTCCCACCATTCTTGGCTTGCTTGGCTTCTTCAAGCCGGTACTGGTTGTTGCAAAAGAAACATTGCCACACAAAAGCCTCACTGTCTGGATTACGCTGCCGCCATTCTTTCCAAGTGTCCAAATACATCTGCAGCCGGTAGCCCCAGCACCAAGACAAGAAAAGAGAAGCTCTTTTTGCATCCCTTGCACTCAATGCATCAACAATGCTGCAATGAAGCCTTCCATCCCGTGGGCAAGTCCGGTTGTATCCTAAGCCTGTTTCCCCTTTAGCCAAGGGCTCACTTAGCTGATGAAAGGTTGGGTTGTCTTCTCGGGCGGCGCGCCTGGCCTGCACAGGAAATTCGTTCATCAAATATTCCAAGCCCGCTCCCAATTGCTTGGAGCTCTTGCAATCAGAACCAGTCCAAAACTCTGAGAGCTCAGTCGCCTGAAGCTCTGAGACTTGTGAAAGTGAAACTTCTGGTGGCTTCCCACGTGGCTCTGGAACATTCCTGTCAGGAATTCCAAAGCCTGGCATTTCAATATCTTCCCGGGACTTTTTCAGTGCTGCTCGGAGCTCATCATTGGCCCGCCCTAAAAGCAAGTCCTGAGTCTTGCGATCCTCCACAAGA